GCCAGAAAAACCAGTTTGTGGAGAGGGCACTGAGTAAACTGCGCGCACGGAATGTTTTTCTTTTGCTAAAATATAGTTCTCTGTGCTCAAAACTTAAAACTACGCGCTCAGGATTGTGGCACAAATATAACGCCATAACGAATCAGGGAACTGAGGCGGACACATCTGCAGCTGTGGAGTGAACACAAACACGCACGCGTAGGGAAACCAGTAGGTGGAAAAACCAGTAGGGGTGTAACACCGGCGCATCGCGGAGAAAACCAACCTATGTTTATACTTCTCATCCAACCACAATCACAAGCACTCTGTCCGCATAGCGACATTTATCTAGATGGGTTTTTTGTCTTTGTGTTTTTGAACTACGACAAGCCGGAAGTAACGAGGCTGTTTTTAAAATGTAACGAGTAGAAGTAAAAAGTCGTCTGAAAAAGAAATACTCCAGTAAAGTATAGAAAATTTCTACTCAAGTACAGCAACAAAGTATTTGTACTTCGTTACTTGACACCACTTATTGATTGACACCTCTATTTGATTCAATTAATTTTATTTTGTATCGCACAAAATCACAAATTAGCCTCATGTGTCTACAGTGTGTACACATGTGACATCCTCTGTCCAGAAACCCTCACATCGGCACAGGAAAAACTCCCCAAACAAAGAGAACGCCTTCGATGGGAAGAATAAAGGGAAGGGACCTTTAGAGAGACACAGGACGATCCTCCCCGGGACGGACACACTGCGATGGACGTACAGAAGGAACAACGTGACATATGTATAATGCCTTAAATTCGTCCGACAGAAATGATTCAAGCACGTATTATCTCATCATATGCGTTGTTGATCATCTCCTGCTCGTCAGCGGAGAAAAAGACGCTTTCTGTTATACAGTTATACTGTTAAAAATCCTGGTTTTGGTGATCGCCTTCTAACGATTGTCCAGAGGACGTCTGGTTCAAACTAACGAGACTGTTTGAGCGCGGATCCGCCTTGTGACGTGAACGTGCAGCTTGGCGTAGTGACAAAGGCTCCCGCGCAGTTCGTGAGTGCGGCCGGTAGGCGGCAGTAGGGACGCTCGCTCGATTGTTGCAGGAAGTTGCGCATGAAGGCTAGCTAGGCACCATGGCGCCTCTGGATTTGGATAAATACGCAGAGATTGCAAAACAGTGCAAATACCTCCCGGAAAATGACCTCAAGGTAAACGTGAATTCATAGATCTGTTTCTAATGAGGACATGTGACGAGCTGCGTACGCCGTGACAGCGTAAATAGCTGTCTGCTAAGGCTAGCTAGCTGTTAACGTTAGCTAGCTGGTAACATCAGCTAACGTTAGCTAGCCTTAGCTAACAGTTATTTACGCTGTAACAGCGTAAGTTAAATAACTGTTTGCTAAGGCTAGCTAGCTGGTGACGTTAGCTAGCTGCCTTCGTCTCTCGGCCAGGAAGTCAAACCCGTTGTAGTGATTTGTTCAGGTAAACACAGCCTCAACTAACGTTAGAAAACGAGACGCTCCCGAAGCGGAGACGCGAGGGACGTCCCCCGTGTCTCATCCCCAGTGAGCTGGTGGGGGTCACCAGTTGATCGGTGGAGTCGGCACTGGGAGGTCTGGTGCATGTAGGTAGAGAGGACACAGTCACTAGATCTCTGTGGTTCATTAATACTGTCGTATTTAATGCCTGACCTCACATTGCGCATCAAAACAAACGGCCCCGGACGTTTAATACGTTTATTAATGTATTATTTTACACCATAGTATAAACCACTTATTGCTGAAAACTCCTCAATTAAGATGTGGCACCATATTTACTGCTCGGATTGTGATGGAGATTATAAACGACTCTTTACCTGAAGATGACATGATCCTGTATTACGCTGTAAACAGCATAAAGTAAATTATAATCCATTCCTTTTATGTTGTATAGCCCAATATCACATATTACAGTGTGTACACAAACCCTCACATTGGCACAGGAGAAACTCCCCAAAGGACAGTCCTCTAACGCTGAATCCTCTTTGCGCTGATGAATCCACCGTCAGCCAAAAGGACTTGCAGATATCTAGAGGAGCTCGGTAAAATCACCCTAATTCTCACTGTCAGAGTTCACGCTTGGTGCTGCTGGCCTGTCGGCACACCTGCAGTGACCTTTTCCAAAGTTATTAATTACCTGGGGCCACATTATATTGATAGAATATGACCTATTATCAAATACTGACCCCCTGTGTCTGTGTTTACATCCATCCAGCGGTTATGTGACTATGTGTGTGACCTTCTGCTGGAGGAGTCCAATGTCCAGCCCGTGTCCACGCCTGTGACAGTCTGTGGGGACATACACGGACAGGTAAAGGAAAAACACTTTGTCTCTTCAGCCTGGTTTCCATAGCATGTCCAGTGTGTGTGCGGTGTAGTCCCTTACCCTGACTTCTCTCTCACTCTACCTTTAGTTTTATGACCTTTGTGAACTCTTCCGAACTGGCGGCCAGGTTCCTGACACAAATTACATATTCATGGTCTGTACTTTTAACTTATTTGCATTTCTTTATTCATTCTGTGCTCCGGATGTTTTGGCAGCGTGTTGTTAGTAACCCTCGTCCATCTGCAGGGAGACTTTGTTGACCGAGGGTATTACAGTCTGGAGACATTCACCTACCTGCTGGTGCTGAAAGCCAAATGGCCCGACCGCATCACGCTTCTTCGTGGAAACCACGAGAGCCGACAGATCACCCAGGTTTACGGCTTTTATGGTGAGATTTGATTCATGGCTGTCACATGACTACGTTTTCACCGACCTCGCTCTCTGGACTATCATCACTCCGTTGAGTTTGACATCAGTGAGCGCCTCTTTGTCTTGCAGATGAATGCCAGACCAAGTATGGGAATGCAAATGCCTGGCGTTATTGTACCAAAGTGTTCGATATGCTAACAGTAGCAGCTGTAAGTACTTTGTATTCATTTGTTGTTCTCTCAAAACCAAGATGGAGGAGGTGGCCTCCTAAATGACAGTTCTTTGTGCTTTAAAGCCATGACAGCCTCAGTTATTAGTAAGTAGAGAGATGCTGAACTGAAACCGTTTGATCTATTATATTTGTCCACATATCTTACCTTAGTTAGAGTTGTTGTTGTGTAACCATGTTGCACAACAATCCAATGCTTTTATTGCCAATAGGTTGTACAGTCAAACCGATCCATGGTTTATATGCGATCTCCTAATTCTAGTATTTTGTGTCTGTCTAGCTGATGGACGAGCAGATACTGTGTGTCCATGGGGGCCTCTCCCCGGACATAAAAACCCTAGATCAAATCCGAACCATTGAGAGGAACCAGGAGATCCCCCACAAAGGAGCATTTTGTGATCTGGTGTGGTCGGACCCTGAAGACGTGGACACGTGGGCCATCAGCCCCAGAGGAGCTGGCTGGCTCTTTGGTGCAAAGGTGACCAACGAGGTAAGCTGCTTTGACCTTACATGTACACAGAGGACCCACTGGGGGGGGCTACATACATACCCGTGTCGCTTTACTAGTTACAATGGAGACATACAAATGATCCAGGGAATATGAAAGTGCTTCTGGAGGTGCACAAGGAAACATTTTAATGTCATATATATTTAAGTGAAAAGACACTTTTACCAACACACAAGTCTTCAAAAACCACTGATCAGTGAATGGAACGCCGCATAAAGGTAAATGGGGCCATTTCATCTATATGTTTTTGTTTTCCTTGTTCATTGACATAACATCAGCCAATTACAACAAGCTGTGTTACCGATGACGGCGACCATGTGGAAACTAACAAAGATACTGCATCTATCGTCCGTTCCAATACAGATACTAACATAGCATTGTATATGGGACAATGTATATTGTATTCCTGAAAAGATCTCGTATGTCACAATACATGTATTTAAAAGCAGCATGTCAAAAATATTCACCACCTATCTGAATGTGAGTCCAAAGCAGGTCATTCTCTGCTGACTCCATGTTAACACACCCACACTTGCAGTAGAGTGTGTTGATGTCGTCCTGGTACACAGACATGGCGGGGCCCTCAGCAGCTTATCAGCCGTAAGGGAGCAGCAGCCTGAAGGACACATCTGACATGTGAGACCGATTGAAAGGATAAACATAGTCTAAAGCTAGACATCCCCACACAAAGGTGTATATCCCTCCGATCGGTCCTAACACACTCAACATCTTCCACATCCACTAAACCAGTCGGATGAGTCCATGGAGCAGAGCAGGATAGATGTAGGACCCCGACCAGGGCTGGCTGATGCTGCGCTATGATTGGCTGCTCTGTGTATGAGGGCGGGGCCTCGTACAAGCTCAATTTATTGTCACTGTCTTCACGAGTCGGCAAAGAAAATGAGGTGATTCTCACTGGCTGTTTGTTAGCTTTTCAACATTTCTCTCTTCCTCTCCATCTTTTGTTTCTCTATCTTCCAAAAAAAACCTTGCAGTTTGTTCATATAAACAACCTGAAGCTGATCTGCAGGGCGCATCAACTTGTCCACGAAGGCTACAAGTTCATGTTTGATGAGAAGCTGGTCACGGTGTGGTCGGCTCCTAACTACTGCTATCGCTGCGGCAACATCGCCTCCATTATGGTCTTCAAAGACGCTAACACAAGAGAGCCCAAGCTCTTCAGAGCAGTGCCTGACTCCGAGAGGGTCATTCCACCTCGAACAACCACTCCTTATTTCCTGTAAGCACATCACAACCAAAAGAACCCGACCATCTGTTCAGTGCCGGGATGCAAACTGAGACCTCGGCATCCCGAAGGAGCTTCGTATTGTACAGTTAAGAGTATTTACATTGCATTTCCATGTGCAAACTATCAATTGTTATTTCCACTTTGGCATGTAATGCCGTTATTCTGCAGCTTTTGTCACACTGAGATATTGCGGTAAAAGCTCAGTGTCCCCGTGTTGTTGAGAAAGGATTCAAGTGACACACAAATGTTCATATTTATAAATCTGGATTTTACTTTACTATAGAGATTCCCTCTGCTCAGCAAATTGCAGGTGCAGTGTTATATATTTTTTGTTATGTAATATCAAAACGATTGCATCTATTCTGACAAATGACAGGCAACATATACACTTACTGCTATGTGATCTTATAAATAAAAGTGAGAGTTGATGTCTGAAATCTGACTATATCGATCTGTTAGCTTTTTCCGTTTTCTGTGATTTACCGATTTGGTGTTGGTTGTTTTATGATCAGTATTATTTTCCTGTGTCCCCATACTGTTTTTTTTAAATAAAGAAAATTGTTCAAATGTGAACGTCCTTGTTAACGGGGCCAACAGCATGCTTCATCAGAACCACGAACTTAAATTGAAACCAATGAAGAGCGCTTTGTGGTATTGTTATTAATCTGAGGCATACGTTTACATTAGATGACGATTTAACTACATTGTATTGTGGAGAAAATGAATATTTATTCATTCGCCTCCCTATGTGTGATTTGACAGACTACAGCAACAGAAGAAGATTACTGCCAATTGTTAAGTTAAGTTAACTCATGTCTGTATGCCTAACAGTCTAGTCTAACATTTGTGCGACGTCACAGGGACTTTGAACAGCACATTTTAATCAGTTCTTCCTCCAGTCAGATTGGACATTTGTGCCAAATATGAAGAACTTCCCTCCAGATTCCCGAGATACAGAGTTCTGGGGGACGATGCGGACGGACGACCTGAAAACATCCGTCCCCTCGCGGACGCAAACAACATTTTTATGATGAAGGTGGTCCAGGAGCACCTGAACATCAGCAGCGCCTCGATGGAAGTGTTGGTAGAAGGTGCAGTGCCAGATGATTCATCATTACGTTTACGTACATTTATTTTGCTCTCTGATCCATGAAGGAGACTAGGACAGCAGTTCAGTTATCTAACTTTTATAGAACAATACATCTTTTCATCATTACTTGTAGAGAACAAAAGCAATCATCTGGTATTTTTATTTGAGATTAGCGATTACATTTAAATTAAATAATGGCAGTTTAGGAATTATATTAATTTAACACGTCTCAGAATTAAGGAAACATTACCAAAATATCTCAGACATACAAGGAAAATACAATAAAATATAAGGCTATTGGTTTGAATATAAGGCTATGGGTTTCAAAATAAATGAATAAAAGTTAAAAATAAAGCTATAGCTGCATGGTCTTTTGCATTCATTTCATGAATTATATATTGTTAAATTCAATCAAAATCAAGGGGGATTTTTAAATACATTTATGTTCTATTCTATCCACAAGATGTTGCACAAAACAGGTTTACAAAAAATTAAATGGTATGATTTGCATATATTATTATATACAGTACGTTTTTATCACAGTGGAGTGAAGTAGAATATTCACAATTATCAGGTAAGAATGTTCCATTCACTTCACCTTTAAGGTCTAATTTATCATCAGCATACACAGCTCAGCTTGGACACAGCAGAACCAGCATGTCAGCATAAGCACGGGTTCGATCATTGGGATTTACATGCTATCACCGTTGTTGCCTGTAGGAGGCGCACGCTGGACACGTTCCCAGATCTACCCAATGAGCGACGGCGCCGCGGTCACGTGTTCCGTCATCCGTGTTGGCTGATTACGTGTAGCTCCCGTACTAGCAGCGCAGCTAGCATGTCCGACCAGACAGCGCTAATGAGTGAGTTCCTGTTGACTGCCACGACCAAAGCCACCCGCTGAGGACCCGCAGAACCAAAGGCGAACGTACGGCCGTTAAGAATTGGAAAACGTCACGGACTTTATCCAAGTTAACATGGTAAGAGAAAGGCGACGTCAGTGAACGAGTCAGCTAACGTGCTAACGTCGCCCTGCGGTGGCAACGTTAACTCTCATTGTTATGGAGGAGCTAGCTGCTATCTGTCAGTCAAACCGGTCACGGAACCTCTGACAGGTTTCACTCTGCAGCGGCCCGTCGCCTAACACGTCCGCAACGAAACGACAGGTTCGGTTACAAACTATAATGTCTTTAAGGCGTTTTGCAGCGATGAATGGCGTTGTGTTTCCATGATTCTAGTGTATGAGCTCGGCCGATCCGTTTGTCCAACCCCCCCCTCCCCCTGAAGTTGTAAACCTAGTGGAAACACTGTGTTCGATACCCGTGAGAAACATTTAGAGGGACGTTTCAGTCTGACACACACCGACTGTTCCCCAGTAAAGTATAATGTTTCCATCGGTAAAGTGCCCCACAGACAGTCTTCTGCGATGTGTCTCTACTCAGCTGACCAGCAGCCAGAACATCTCGATATCTTCCTCCCTTCTTCATCAGCAGTAGCAGGATGGAGTCGCCCCAACAGACCAGTTTGGAGCGGTGCTGCCTGGGGACGCCGCTGTGCTGCACAGCCGAGAAGCAGGATCCGTAGACCGCATCGTCCCTGGGAGCCACTGAGTCCACACGAACCGCCAACTGCACTCAGAGAGACGCGCGGAAAGGAGCGACATGTTCGCCAAGCTGAAAAAGAAGATCGCAGAGGAGGCGGCCACAGCACCTCGGGGTGGCGTCCGTATACCACGCACCATCAGCAAGGAGTCCATCGCCTCCGTGGGGGCCGACTCGGGAGACGACTTTGTAAGTAACATTGCATTGTGAAATCATCGCCAGTCACTGGCTTCATGTGGGAATGGGCTCATCCAGACCACTTGGTGCACAAACATACCTTTTGTTTGCATTATTGCATTGCTTTTCTGTTACTACACACGTGTCACACATTTTTTGGACAACTTTTAGAAATTGAGCAGGATATCCGTATAAAACAACACGTGTCTAAGTAATTATCTATTAAGAATAAATCCAGAAACAAGTGGGTAACGTCTGTACTTGTGACTTTGGGGTTAGTGTCGAGTCAGGCGGCTCTAGGTAAATGAGGGCTTGGGTGTGACTGACATCGCATTGTATTGACTGTGTGTAGGCGGGAAACTGTTGTGTTCAGACTAACCAGTCGAGCACCAAGACCAGTTCATTAATTTCTCGTCACACGCTCACTGCTCACTCAATCTGTGTGTTTTCGATCCTGTTTCAGTAGGCACTGGCATGCAGGGATGTCTCAGCGTTTTGTTGATGTTGTCCCATATGATTATCATGAGAAAGGATTTTCCTAAAGGAAACCTCCCAGAGGTTGTCGTGCTGTCTCAGTTAGCACTCCGCTAAATTATTTAGTGAAGTCACTGAGTAGCGACTCTGCTGGCGAGCGTGTGGCAAACGTCTGTGCAGGCACGTGCACGGACGTTTTGGGGGGCGGGTGGTCAAAAAAAAAGGGCACCCATCACCAAAAGTATTCATGAATTAAAAATAATAATTAAAAAACACAGTAGGATATGTTCAACTCACATATTTATTTTTGTTAATACACTAACTCAAATTGAATAAATAAATGAATAACAGGCAAAAACATACAAAACAAGGCCATATTGTACTTAAGCAATAAGGTACGGGAGGCTGTACTAATGTTACAGTTCCTGGCTGTTGTTAGTCAACCCTTGAACTTACTATAAATAGGAAGTTAATAGAAAATAGTTGTAGCCACAATACGTTGTGCATCACAGAAAATAGTCCGTGTATGTGTGTCTGTTGCTATGCAACAGAGAAACAGCATTGTAAACATCACGTTTGTTGGCCGAGCACCAGAAGGTTGTTAATGTTTAGCGAGGAGATCGACTTTATTTTGAAAAACATCCCAGGTCCCCTTGCAAGATGTCGCACTGTCTCGTTCATTCACATTGCTCATGACGTCCACCTGAATCGTCCTCTTTAGCTAAAAGGTGTCCTAAAGCAGTTGCGTAAGCTCGCATTGCCCCAAACCGATCATTTGCGGCGTTTCCGGTGTTTTTTCGAGTGACGCCGAATCCGAAAAGTGGTCGATGGCAGGTTCCTTTTTCGGAGCGGCACCCTCCTGCAAATTCCATGTGAACGAGGAGCTTCACGAAAGCCTCGTATTAAGACGCTGAATGACGGGTCTCTACACGACTTGATAAGATATGGTCACTTCCTGTCCACTATCCAAACATCCCTCCATAAAACAAGGGGGGGACGTCACGCTGGCTACGCCCACTTCTTATATACAGTCTAACGGTTTATTGGCTGCCTAAAGGTCGGTGAAGCCCTAATCTGTGTTGGATTGGCTGGCCGGGATTAGGAATGAGGAGGTTTGGCTACGGATAGAAATGATTTAGTCATTTAGATATTTAATAGAGCAATGCTACCTGCACTGAAAATAACAAGTTACACTTGATGATTTTTGATTGTGAAGAGGAGCTTTTGAGCGAAGACCCAATACAAACGTGTGTGTGTGCGTGTGTGTGTGTGTGTGTGTGTGTGTGTGTGTGTCTTCAGGCCTCTGATGGCAGCAGCTCCAGGGACGACCTCCCTGCTCAGCTTCTCAGAAGGAATGACCAGATCCGGAAGCTGGAGGCCAAGCTCTCAGGTAGGACTGTCAGTCTGAGGTCCGGCCCCGTTTTCCTGTGACATCAGAGCTTGCAATGATCTTGATATCGACAACGATCAATATAACTTTGTGCCTCTTTTCTCTGTCACTCACACAATCAATTCCTGCAGTGAAGTCTATAATTACCCAACATTGAGCAATCGTCCTCACAGGGCCAGCCACCTGGAGCACCCATCCATCCATCTATTGATCTAACGACTTCTCTTTTATTAGGATAATGTCTTCAAATGTTTGTCCAATATGACAATGAATTTACCCCAAATGAATATAATGAACTTGAATATTTCAGTGTTTCATTCGATCAGAGATAATAGACCCTGTTGAACAGATTGAAAAGGATTGCTGTGACATGGTAGTTGCATGTCATAGAAACCTTCTCCCCAAACGTACTCCGCGGTCGACCAGGTGCCTCAGGGTGCGGAGCGGCCGTCCCGCTGCGAGAAGCTCTTTGCTGTTCGTAGCGTCTGCAGAGCAGACGGGATCACCTCCACCGCACGAGGGGGTTTATCCTCCATTCCACCGGGCACGGAAGGCCGCTTCCAGTGATTCCAGTCCCAACCCGTCACACTTCACACTCCCCAGTTTGTAAACATACTGTGTTTTTGTCGGAGGTGCAGTGGAATCTTCAGTGAGTCCACTTCCAATAAGATGGGGTCATGTCAGCTCAGTGATATGGTTAAAAATGCCAATTTCACTTTGTCCTTTTCCTCCCCTACAAGTGGGATGGACCTCTGTCATTATGTGACTTTGCTCCCTTAGAAAGGGTTAAATCCCCTTTTTAACCAGTATGCTTTTCTCAGATAAGAAAACCATCAGTAGTTTGACCTCCCATTGTGTCTCACGTTTTCCCTTTTGCTTTCTCCCTTTCCTTTTGTTCACCTTCTCCTCTTTCCTCCCCATCCTCCTTTGTGTGTGTGTGTGTGTGCTGTTGGTACCCCGTCTCCTCACCCTACTTCCCACCACTAGACTATGCTGAGCAGCTGCGAATTATGCAGAAGACCAAGGAGAAGCTTGAAATTGCATTAGAAAAGCATCAGGATTGTACGTACCCCTCCTCTCCTGCCGATCGCCTTCCTCTCTCACCTCTGTAATAAAGGTCACATGGCGTGTTCTTCTTAATATTATAGTGCTTTGCTTTGCTCCTCTTTATAATCTAGAAATCCACCCTGGAGTTAGTTTTTCCGCACATCGAGCCCAGAGGCCCGTCTGCATTGTCTGCTGCTGTGTGCGTCCCATTCTCTCAACGTGCCCTCACAGTGCTTCAGTTGAGGGCTTCATAGACGCGGCGCGCTTACTGCTGCTGAAGACGTGAGCGGCTGGTGTGTGTGATGTGGCTCAGCAGCTCTGCTTGTGGACATGAAGACAACGAGCCGCATGTCTTTTAAAGCCGCGTTGCATCCCGTGTGTTGGGCTTTCTGCCAGTGGCCAAACTTCTGTAGCTGCACGTCGTGTTGAGTATGGAACCTCATGTCAGAATAGGAATCATCGTGTCCTATGGGCCATGGTGTCTGAGGACATTGCTCTCGACTCTTTGAAATGATGAAATGTGTTTTTGGTTGCAATGAGCACCACACGCTACAAGAGTAACAGTCGATTTTAAAAAGGCTTAGTTCATGATCAATCTACTGACTACTGAGGTTTGTTCTCCAGTGTTCAGTTTGTGGCTTCTCTGGTACGCAGGTGTTGTGAGAGCAGGTGGAGCCTGAAGGGTGGATTTTTCTCTCACAGATATGCAGCTAGCTTTGGTAAACTGTGTTTTTGAGTTCTTGTCACTTTCCGCGCATCGCTCGTCTGCTTTCGATCTGACTCGCCGCTGCTAACAGTGCTGCTGTCTGTGACATTTAATATTCCTGTCCTCTCTCGTTGCATACAAACCTCTGTATGGTTTCCATCTTTCCCCTTTCCTCTGTCTCACTTTCACTACTCAGCATCCATAAAGAAACTTCAGGACCAGAACGAGTGTCACCAGGCCAGCAGAGCCAAGATGGCGGAGGGGATGGCTCTAGCTCTGGAGAAGAAGGAGCAGGTAGCAGCCGCCGCGTCTCACTCCTGTAGCGCCGTGAATTCAAGCTTTGTTTACTCACTTTCTTCCTTTCCCTGCAGGATTGGATGGAGAAGATGACTGGCGTGGAAAAGGTGAGCCTTTCATATATAACCTATTAAGCTGTGGCGGTATTAAAGAGCTTAGAATGTGATTTGTTTTCTACACCTGAAATCAATCGAATTGAAGAACTGTCCTGTTGCCAGAAGACGGGTGTGACTTTGTTTCTTCTGGTGTGTCACATTTCAATCTGATGAACAGGAAGGAAGAGGTTGATTTTTTTATTCATCCCTCTCAAACCAGAGCTGCTGGTTGTTGGACTAACAGGATGAATTGTACGTTGTTTCTGTCAGTGAGGTAAAATGATCTAATCAGAGACGGGTTGCTTTGATTGTTTTCTAGTCTCTTCCAACAAGCATCACTTAGCAGCAGAGATGGAAACTAGCCAATTTCCCCGGGTGGTGCAGGATTGAGAACTTCAAAAACAGTGCAAGCCTCAAATGGTTTTGCCCACTTAGTTTGTTAATAAAGTTGTGTATTGAAGTGCGTTGTGTAGTAAACCTCTGAAAGGATTTGTCAGTCAAACCTGTGTAGTTTGTTCGTGGTGTGAAAGTAGAAAGCCGGCCAAGCAGAGGGTTTAGGTGTGTGTGTGTGTGTATACACATATGTGTGTGTATGTGTGTGTGTATATATATATATATATATATATATATATATAATCCAACAACAGATTAACCGATGTGCCCTTGTGGTTTGTGTCAGTAGTCACATGGGAGCAGGCTGGGTTGGATGCAGGTGATCATCCGTGTCTGGAGCACTATTTGTGAAACAATCCAGTGGTACAAGTCGTCTCCACACCTCAGGTTACTAATCCTGGATATCTCAATGTCCTCAGAGGCTGATCTGGGGTCTCAGAGGTTGTGCTGCTGTGCTATTTAACGTGGATCCCTCCGTGGGAATGGTTTGACCTCCTGATCAGTGACCCGTAACCTACGTCTCTGCAGTGTTCTGGAAACCTGCTGACGCGCTGAGCGTGGTCCATGCAAGTGTCCGTTCATGGTGTGACCGTGTGTGTGTTCAGGAGAAGGCTTCCCTGGCAGCCCGGGTAGAGGAGATGATGCAGCACAGCGTAGCACTCTTCCAGAAAAGGGATGACCGCGATGAACTGGAAGGCTTTCAGCAGCAGGAGCTGGCTAAACTTAAACATATGGTGCGTACCCATGGACTTGGATTTGCAGCATTAGTTACAAACTGGTTTTCTTCCATCCACTAGTTGTTTTTTGATCAAACGGAAGGTCATTTAAAGAATTAGACTTTGGAGTCTCGGAGCCTCCGAGTGTTTGAGGAGCGCTTAGTTTGTCCGGGTGGGGTTTGATCTGTCCTCCAGAGCGGTCCAGTGCACCGCATGTTCTTGGAGTACTCTTTGTTTCCTGTTCATCAGTTGCTGAAGAAGGAGGAGGAGCTGAGTCAGCGGGATCTGCAGCTCCAGCTGAAGGAAGCTGAAGTTCAGTCGGCAAAGCAAGGGCTGTTGGAGGCGAGGAGGAAACTCCAGACTCTGGAACAGCAGCACGAGGAGAGCTGCAGTCTCAACTCCGGGCTTGAGATAGAGCGGTGAGAACCGATGCTCCTTGTCTCCTGGTCTGGTGGGCTCACAATACTGTTCAGAAACACCAACCATGCCCCCAGGAGTTACATCACATCATTAAAGTTCAATTCACACCGTCTTCTTGTTGAGCCGTGAAGACGACCTGCGTGTCCCTGAATGTGTGCAGAGAGGAGCTGCTGCTGCTCAGAGAGGAAGCAGACCAGCGGATCCGTGAGCTGCAGTCGGTCCTCCAGCAGGTCTCTGAAGACTTCCAGAAGGTCAGTCCTCAACACAAGCGCCTACCGCTTCTCCGCTGTTCTCCAAGTGGCTGTGTGAAAACCTTGTGTTTCAGTCACAGCGCGTGGTGTCCACGTTGGAGACGTCCCTGCAGGCATTACAGACGGAGCATGACGCCCTGAAGTTGCATCAGCAAAAGGTCAGGGGTGTAATCCAACATTCTCCACATACCTTTGTGACACCAGCCTAGGATGAGCCACTACAGCGTGAATGAGTTTAAGTCAGGGGACAGCATTGGCCGGGGCTGTGAGTTGATCACGTAGCGTCGTGCCGGCGCATCAGCAGACTGTATCTTCACACCTCTCTGCATTTCCCGCATGTCATCAGGCCTTTGAACTTTTGGTTTGAGTATTGACTAAAGAAAGGATCGATAGGAGCCCGTTTCAATTCTTCCCTTGACACCATCAGGCCGCTGTAACGGAGGTGGACAAGGAGCGCTTGTTATCGGACCTTCAGAAGAAAGTGACGTCCCTGGAGAGACGGCTCCAGGGGAACCTGAGCCAGGACGACCATCTACAGGAGCTTCTCCATGAGGTGAAGAAGCTCTGGAGCAGGAACCTGCCATCTCATCTCATGTGGCAGGCGTTGTTTTTATCTATATAAGGTGTACGTGTGTTCAGACCAGTCAACCGATATCTAATCAAGGAAATGAATTAAATGCAGGGGGACGTCAACAGCTCGGTCTGTTCATGTTGTGATGACATTTTAGCATTGTGTTAATATGGTGCAACTGAAGTGATAGAATGTGAGTTTGAAACAGCATTGGTGTAAACACACATTTAACATTATTGGCAAATATTTCTTACCTGATTTCGTTTTGTTAAGAGCTGTCAATCTCTTCATAGAAGCTTCTAATATATTTGATTGGACATCATTTGAACTAATGCATGTAATGTTAAGTTTATCTTAGGTGTATTTCCTGATGATTATGTCCCTGTTGGGGAGGGAACAATATAGATACCAAAGCACTGGTTAATCAGTCCAGTTGTCCCCTTTTTAGAAGTGCGGCTTGGAGCAAAGTCTGGAGGAGACCAGAGCGGAGCTGCTGCAGGTTCGGACCGACCACGCTGACACCGTCAGCTCTCTGGAGACTCAGGTAAGCCACTACGTCCATTTCCTGCACCCTGTCTTCCCACGTCTTTAATAGATGCAACAATGAGTGAAATTGGTTGAGTATTGAGCGAGGATGCTGCAGAGCGATCCAATCAGGGCGAGCTAGGTCCACTTACAGCGCTTAAGTGTCTGACTATGTTATAGACAGCAGGGAGGACGGGGGGAGGGAGGGAGAGCTTGTGATGTTGATGAACAGAAGGTCTTCAGGGAGAGATGCAAACACGGGTGTCCACTTTAGTCAGGAATGGAAAAGTAATGTCAGGGTTGAATGGTACCGTCTGTAACATTTGCTCCTGGTGCGGTCAAAGACTTGATAAGTGAGTTTGCGCTTCGTGTTTCTTGTCCGATCCAGCTATCCAGAATGAACTGCAGCCTTACTGAGCTGCAGAACCTCCTCCGACACAAGGACGACTCGTCCAGAGCCTACAGGGAGAGGACGGACACGCAGGTCAGCAGTCGGACACAGAAACACACTGAAGTGATCCCTTCTAGTGGCTTAAGCCGGATGCCCGCTGGTTACTGATGAGTGGCTGAGGATTTTGCTCTTTTGTACTGCTTTATTTCTCAGATAGCTAGTTTGGAGCAGAATGTGCAAGAGAGTGATGAGAGGCTGAAGAGTGCCGAGCGCCACGCCACAGAGAAACAGCGGCACGTGGATAAACTGGTGAGCGGCGCAGACACGTGCAGCTTGCCTCCCCAAAAGTAGAATATGAGGGTGGACCGGCATCTACTACAGTACAGAAGTATAGTGGAAAATAACGACTTCTAGAAAGTAAATGATTTTAATTACAGGTGTCATATTGTCTCAACAAAGTGTAACTTGAGTTCACTCTGGTGTCCTCTGGTGGTCTTATTAGTGATGACACTGTTGCTGATGTTTGCTGCAGTTTTTCTTTTCTTTTAACGTGATGATTTGTAGCATAAACACAGTTTGTGTCCGTTTTAATACATTGGGGTTTTGGTCAGATGTAGATATGTTTCTACTGACAACATGGCCTTTTTCAGTTGTATCTGGTTGGATTTTTCCAGCAAGCGGAGTGGAGTGCAGAGAAGGCCTTTCTGGACCAGCAGGTGTGTTTGCTTCAGCAGCAGAGCCAGGAAGAGGCCCGCCGCCTGGAGGACAGCGTCCGCTCGTTACAGGCTGAAAGACAGAGGCTGCACGACAGACTGGTACACCTGCTTCTCATCTCGAGCACTATGACGTGGTGGTGCTGTTACACTACGGGGCGTCAGTGTGTGCACACGAGCACGCAGCCATGATGACTCCTTCTCTGCTGTTCTTGTGTTTAGGCTGATCTGGATCAGCAGAGGGACGAGGTAAACTCCGCCCTCAGTCAGCGGACAGAAGAGCTGGAGCAGAGCCGGGTCAGATCAACTGCCACTCCCCGTTTCTCCCCAGTTGTTTAATGCACATATTCACATTTCAGTGACCTTTTATTTTCAGATTGGGTTTGACATTTGAATATTGTCCATGTCCACTGTTTTTCATTTTGACACGTTCGTAGAATGAGAAAATCATAACGCAAATGAGTGAATTCTCCTTTCTAATATTAATCATTTTAAGAAGTCCCTTATGGGCTTCCTTACATGACCTTTGCTGTAACTAGTGGTTGTTGTCACACATTGTGATACAGCTTCACTTTACATGAACCTAAACTCACATATATATACACATATCACATAAATATACATCCCACTCAACTAAAGGTGTGTATCATGCGTGAAAGAGTCTCATTGTCGTCCTCTTGTCTTGGTCTGTGTTCCTCAGGCGGAGCTGAACTGTCGGCAGACTGTGAGCACAGAAATCGCCAAAGCACTAGAAGAAAGCAGGCGCCAGAAGGAGGAGCTGCAAACGCAGGTGTGTAGGCCAGCACTTCGCCTCAGCGTCAGTGGATCCCCACAGGCTCCAAGACCGCGCACAACACATCCAGGGCCATGTGTCATCCAGCCAGTTTGTCTGTGCTTGTTGCCAGGTTGGAGAGCTCACCACATCGCTACAGACCTCCCTGCAGGACCTTTCCACGGCCACTGAGAAGCTAGCACTGAGCGAGGAAGACGTGCAAACGCTCCAGAAGGGTACACACACACACTTTAGGTCCTCTAGAAATATGGGCTCCTTCATTTTGTAATCATTTGTTGAGTTTCAACAATGGTATTTCTGCTTTGTGTAACACTAGTTGTTTGTATCTTAGAATGGTGCCCAAATTGTATATTGCATTGTAATACATTTTTGTTAGAGGCCTTAGATTCTATAAAATTGTGCATTAATCTATGATTGTATGATCGAAAGCATTGAACAGAAAGTACAAATGTCTGCATCCTCGTATCGTGTGTGTTGCGGTGCAGAGGTGCAGTGTCAGCAGGCAGCAGCGGTGCAGCTGCAGGAGAAGGTGGAGCAGCAGCGCGCCCAGCTGGAGCAGATGGAGCTGGACAAAGAGTCTCAGCTGATCAACCAGACGCAGCAGCTGGACAGCTGCCAGGCGCGGGTTAGCGCACACACACACACACACACACACACACACATACATGCTGCCAAGAGCTTTATAAATAATATCTATATCTGCAGGCTATGTGATATGCAATCTGTACCTCCATGTTGTCTCTTAAATACCTGTTAAAATGCGTATGATCATACCTGAAGCATCGTTTTAGCAAACTCATTCAGACAGCCAGTCCGCTTGCTCATGGAGATGTATTCTTTTATATTTAATTTGACTCTTGATTCACAAAATTAGACTTTAAAATTAGTTATTTAATCAGCATTTGTTTTTGTTTTTAATTGGGGCTGTTCATTGGCTAATGAACGTGAAATCACTCATGTTCACACGGGGGTCAGTATTGTGTGCACACTCCAAAGAGGAGAACATGAACTGAGCTCTGTGGGGCGTTGAATGTGCTCAGATCTCATACCTGGAGGTCGAGGTGGAAACCTTAACGGAGCAGCTGCGCGGCCCTGAGGTGTGCGAGGAGGATCACAACGGCAGTGTGACGGTGGATGACCTGGATCACATTCAGAAGGTCAACAGAGAGCTCGAACAGCAGCTCTCTGACAAGAATAAGGTCAGTTACTGATTTGCTCCCGTTCTGATGTCCTACCTGCTCTTTGAGAGGAGCTGCACTGTTACTGTGGTAAAATGTTAAATTGTCTGTAGTTGTATTTCTATTTTTAATAGTGTTGAACCACCCAAAGTCGTTCAATACTTCACGTCGTCGTTCACACATTCACACCCATTTAAATCCTAGTACCTTTCAGCATCTAGATGAATAAAACCCATTGGTTTTGTTTTGCAGACCATCAAGCAGCTGCAGCAGAGACTGGCGGAACTGAAGAGGACACTGCAGAAGGAACTGGTGAGTTCAAACTCACCAGTTAATACTAACCTGTTAAACCAAAAACACTGTAAATCAAACCACTGTTGCCACTACATCACTTTAATTAGTACCACTTTATTTCACTGTAGCGCCACAGAACTTCATTTGATGTATTCTATGGCACCATCATTGTTCATTGATCAAACTGTGCATTTCATCGCTAGCATTACCTGCTGCTCCACAAACAGCAGCCAGCGGAGCCTGCTTGCAGATGGAGGTTGTGCTCGTTGATCGCGGGTTGATTCTCTCCGCTCCTCCACGATGTCTCTCGCACTGCACTGCGCTCCTCGAGACGGATTTAACCCCAAATATTACATCACATTACATGTCATTTATCTGACGCTTTTATCCAAACCGACTTACAATCAGTGCATTCAACCACAGGGTACAAACGCAGAACAAGAAAGTAGAAATGGTAAAAATAGCTCCGGTAGCTGTGACTACAGTGTGTAAATGTTAGTTACGGACAGACAGGGGTCTAAAAAACACTTTTAGTGGTCAGAAGACTAGAAAACAGATGTGTGTATTAGGGCTGTCACGATATAACATTTTTGTTGTGCGATTATTGCACATGACAATATAATAGCATAGCAATAAAAGTTAAAGCTATTTCAAAGAACGTTTTATTTGTCAGAATGGTTGGACATTAGAATCGGAATGTGAAAAACCCAAAAAATAATAAGTGCAAGGAGCGGGCGAAGCATCGGGCTTGGTGCGATTCAGTCGGGTTCGAGAAAATGTGTCCAGCGGAAATGTGCGCCGCAGCTTCGACCGGGCGATCAACTTAAATGTTAGTGACGTTGATTTATATGTAAAATGAATATCGCAGCACCAAACATTATTGCACGCGATTTCAGAGAGAATGCGATAAGTCATTTTATTGCATATTGCAACAGGCCTAGTGTGTATATGTAAAGTCCATTTACTACACAACTTGCAGTCCTGTGATTGGCTGCTATGGATGCATGACTAGTGACCGTAACTAAACAAGGGCTGTCCACATAAACACATTAATCTATGCGATTAATGTGCTCGAGATTAATGCAACAAAGTATTTTTACGTAGTTAACGTACGCTTGTTCAGTTGACCACGGAAACGAAACGGCCGTTCGCTGCAGTCAGTTACATCAAGATGGAGAGAGCTTTTTGTATTGGAAGTAAAATAAAACAGGTGTGACATACAGCAGAGATCTGTGCAGAGGAATTACTCCACGTGTCAAACAGAAGGAGTGAGTGGTAAACGGGCCACTTAAAGCACTGCTATTCTAAGCTGGCTGCTAGGCTGCTTCCATCTCAACATGTAACGTTACCCTGCGCGGCGCACAGTCTGCACAGGACCACTGTGTCCCTAAAAGACCGGGGTTTGAAAACCTGCTAAATGTGGGGAGACTGTTGGCACCTCAAACACAGCTGTCAAATAATGGAGACATGAGCATGAGGACAGCAGGAAGAGTCACTAATTCAGCATGTTCCACCTCCAAGATGACCTCATGGGTGTAGTTTTGTGTTTAAAATAACATAACAATTAAACAAGAGTGTCTAAAATACACACTTTCTAATGTGATTATTTTTAAGATTTAGTCTTTAGAAAAAAAGTTTTTGTTTTTTTAATAATCTATCGACAGCCCTAAAATTTAGTACAAGATCTTTCACCAAGAGGAACACACCCGATGAGGAAGGAGACCTGATTCTCTGACCTTTTTTGCCTGAATTGTAGGCGTTGGGTACAGAGGGAATCAGGCGCGGCACCTGGTCATTAGCATCGCACAGTGAAACACGGCTGTGAGGGACGGGGTCCAGCAGCAGGTGCTTTGATGAGCGGGTTGTGGGAAAGCGAGAGCTCAAGTCTTTTATTATCAAAATAGGTCAGACATACAAGGAATTTGACTTGGAGGTTGGTGCATAACAGCAGACAGCATGACAATGGACAACAAGACCGATAAGACAACGTAGTCCAAGTATGTGCATGCGGAGTTCTGTTGATGACTGCCGACGGGAAGAAATTGTTGATGTGGCGGGAGGTCTTAGTCCTGATGGACCTCAGCCTCCTGCCAGATGGAAGGGGCACAAACAGGTTTTGTCCGTTGTCAGAGGGGTCGGCTACACAGCTTCACGTGCTGCTTCCTGAAAGGTTCCCTTCCTGCTGGACAGAGCCGTGACACCTCAGGAGTGGCTCAGAGACCACAGGGAATGAGTGTGTCCCAGCCTGAGGCCGGACCTCAAGTGATCCGATGTCAAATGTTGTTTTAATAATTTTAGCACAAGGCTGTAACGTGCGTGTGCGTGTGAGAGAAGTGAATACACTGTACTTAGAGTTTCCTTCTGTGTCCCACTACAGAAGCTAAAGCCTGATGCAGAAACTGAAGGGAAGGAGAAATTTTCCGAAAGCAGAGCAGAAAAAGCAGAGAGGGTTTGTCCAGACCCGCTCCCAACATCTACCCTCAGCCCCCCGACCTCCAAGACCACGGTGACCAACACCTCAGACCTCAACGACTCGCGAGAAATCAACTTTGAGTATCTCAAACACGTCGTACTCAAATTTATGTCCTCCAGAGAAGCTGAGGTAAGTCCTCAGTAGGGCTGTCAACGAAGATTCTATATTCAAATAGCTATATACGAATAGTTGCTTTATTTATTTATTGCCCCGTGCATCCACACCGCTGCTTTTCATCAAGGACACATTTGTCCCGTATTTTCCTCCACGACTTTGTTCCCTCGTTTGTGGAGATCTCCCTCCGTGAATCAGAGGCCATCCGCCGTCCTCATAGTCCGCCAATGACGGCTTGTACAAGCGCTCATGTTTACACATTTCTTCCGACAAAAGTTCTTCAATCTGATCCGTTGTCTCGTAAACATTCTTCCTTTTAATAATGGCGGTATCGGGCTATGAAAACGGCAATGTGAGACTCCGTAATGGACGTAGTTAGCGGACCAATCGCAGCCTGGTGCGCTGTGGGAGGCTTGCCTAGAAAGATGGGTCGACTCACGCAAGGACGCAAGGGGGTGTGAAAAGACCCACAAGGGACACGCAAGGGGGTCTTGCATCTGCGTTTCCTTGCGTCGCTCTGAAGACGCAGAAGCATAAACTAGGCTTTAATGTGCAGCTCTGTAGGTCTTTATGGACCAACGGCTTGACTGTGGTTCACTGAGCCAGTCAGCTTGCGTGTGTCTTTCTGTCAGGCGTTCCAGCTAATACGAGCCGTGTCTGTGCTGCTGAACTTCACCCGGGAGGAGGAGGACATGTTGAAACAAACGCTGGAGTATAAGGTTGGTGTTCAGTGTGCAGCTTCCAGCCCTTCATCAGGCAGAACACCGCTGAAGGCATCAACTAATAGAGAGATAAATACAGCAGTGTCCCAACTGTAGTAGTGTGTAGCCGTTGGGCTCAAATGATTTTTCACCTGGTGACTATGTTTGTGTTCTAGATGTCCTGGTTTGGATCCAAGCCTTCTCCAAAGGGGACCATCCGCCCTTCAGTCTCAGGCCCTTCCACTCAGTGGAGCTGATGCTCCGCAGGAGGAGATACGGGAACCAAAGAGCCCCTTGAAGAGGAGGAAGCCCCTCTGCAGTCCACGTTGGGCAGCCTGGACGGTGGCTTCCCGCTGTGTGGGGACATCTTCAGGAGCACGTGACAACTTTAAGAGGACTTTGTTTCCTTGTCAGTGGTCCAGGCAGACTTTTGGCCTAATAGAAGGTCAACTGGGACACACTATTAACACTGGAATTTTGGGAGTCAAATGTTTCTTCCCTTACTCATGTCAAAAATAGGTTTTCGATTCTGTGAAAACCGCTAAAAGTGAGTTAGCATGTCAGAAAATGAGCACATGAAAGAAAACGGGCTGATAGCTGTTTTATTAGGAGGTGCCTCATTTGTCAAAACACACAAGTCCTTTTTGTTGTTGTTGGAGCAGACAGATGTGACTTGATTCAACTGTTTTCACTGGACAAACGGTGCAGTGTTGATTGCTGAAGGAGGTTTTAGCCTGTTAGCTGGTACATGTTTATATTTAAATCATAGAGGGCTTCTTAACGGTTTGCATTAGTTACAAAGGATCTAAATTGGTTTTCATTTAGACTTGAATCATGTGGAAATGTTGGTGATCGCATTGAAAGGGCCGCGTGTTCTGATGCCCAGCGAATACCGTTAATATAAGACTTTATTACAAAGCTCTTAGCACAATCAAATGAATCCATTCCAGGTTGGAGTGTATGCCCAACAGCACCCCCAAATTCAAACCTTTTTCGATTGTCGTCTTCTCTTCAAAAGGACATTTTCACCAAATTGCTTCACACTGGGTTTCCACTTGTCTTTTCAAAGGGACTCCTGACGTCGAGTCTGTGCTCCAAGATCAGATCCCATCAACCAGACCACATGGCGAGGTGGCCTGGCTCACATTGAGTTCAGGTCCAGTGGGGCGTGGACAGCATGTGGACAAAATCCAGACCACAGTGGACTTTATCTGCTAGGACTGTGTGGAGGAAGAGAAAGCAGCTCAAAGGATGTGGCACTTTTATTGTGAAGAGTAACTTCCCTAGTATATGGTTGGTGATTTGGCCTTCTACAAATACATAGTTATATATATAACTATGGTAGTTATATATAATGGCATGTACAAAAATGTAATTCAGTTAGTAAAAAGTTCGGACCGGTGTAATAATAAAGGGGCTCTGTTGATGAAGGACAGACAAACGTACTGTAGTTCAACAGCTCATTTCATTGGCTGGTAAAACATAAGGAACAGGAAGTGCTGCTTTGAAAGCTCAGGTCAGGGCAACAACAGTCTGCTACTTGGGGGACAAAGATGTCACAGGCCAAGCTGTCTGTGCACAGATTGTCCTTTAAGACCAATTTAGACTGGACGTGCATTTGGATAATATAACAACGTGCTTAAATAAGTGAATGCAATGTAAATGATGACTGGAGGACATGCTCTACCTTTACCTGCCTTTACCAATGTAAATGAAACTACATTCCACATATCTATTTATACGGAGAAATATGCACATACTGTATGCGTTGAGAACTTTATAAATCAGTGGATGTAAATGGTTTGATGTGACCGGTTTTGTGTATTCATCACCATCATTCAGAACCCATATCTGTTTCCTTTACTCGTACCCCCCCCCCCCTCCACTGTCATCTCCCTGTGATGCCTCCACAGCACGGGGAGGATCTGCATGTTGGCTCCCTGCAGCAGCCTCACTCTTCATTTCCAAAAGCCAACGGATTCTGGATTTGATAGAAATGTAGTCACACAGACTCAAACCAAATGGAACCATGAATGCACTTTTTAACCTGCTCTTTTAAACCCTGAAACACAACTGTTCAATCACTACAGCTTTTACTTTTCATCCGTGCAATGGTTTCCTCTCCCAACATTTATTAATAATAAACCTGAAATGATAAAGGCCCAGACTACCATGGATGTTGTGTGTACAGAATGAACAACGGGACCGATTCCAGTTGTTTTTGAAGTATTTCCTTTTGATCGCATGGAGAGAAAAAAACATTCTGAAGCAATTAAGCTGAAGTCCATGTTCTTGGTCTGCAGCAGAAATCCAGAGAAAAGCCTCCAGACAGACTCACAACCTTCTTGCTGTGAGGCAACAGTGTGCACCAAGAAAAAGTTTCAGCAATACCCTTTTTTGTGTGTATGATATTGAAACATTTGTTTTTTGAGTTGGTTGCCGATTTGCATAATAGCCTAGTTGCAAGGTTTGTTCTTTCAATTTGAGTGAAAATATTTGATTGCAAAATGTAGACCGTATACTATTTTTACAATTTCTCTCATTGTGACCCTTCACCTTGCAGGTCTCATGCTAAATCCTTTCAAACTCTTACAGCACTCCAATTCTTTCATATAGCATGGGAGCAGCGGTCCATTAGTCATCTCTTGTTCGGGTACAGAGGTATTAGATCAGGTGTAACAAATGTCCCTCCTGAGGGTGGGACCACCACAGCGTTGGCGCATAAATGCTGTATCCAGAGCACCATTTGGCATTACAGGTAATCAACATTTTGTATCAAATCACGTGTTTTTTAAATTTAAAATTGCCTGGAAAACTCATAGACTCAAGAAATATATCAGAATGATAATATTTAATGACACCTAACCATTACGCTGTAATTTCAGCTTAAATATAAATTCATATGAAGTTAAAATTCGGTGTTTTGTTGAGTGTCTTTATTCAGGTTACATTGTATATCTTTTCCAGGTTGATGGGGGAACAAAGCGTTTCTTCCACGCTCCACCAATCAGGGGCGCTGTTTATGTGACGTCAACGGAAAACTCTACCCACGAAGAAGAACTTCCCGCGCTATAAAAGCTTTGCACGCGGCGTGTCGGTCCTTTCTGGATGAGCAGCGCGAGGATCGCAACGCTTTGATTGAGTCGCTGCCTCGGACCGTCCAGGCCTTTGTGCGCGTGCAGCCGCCCGGTGCGCGCGCCCCTCGTCATGTCACGTGACGGGTCGGAAGCGTAATGCTAGCCGGACAGCCCGGTCTGCTTTTGGCACCACGTGTCTGACTGGCGTCTTCTTCATTATCCATCGCAAGAGTGCTGACTGTAATCAACCAGACGCAGAAGGAGAACCTGAGGAAGTTCTACAAGGTGAGCGCAACCATCTGTTTTGGGTTGTAGGAACACGTGCTCCTCAGCGCTCATGGAGACATCTCCGTGTGGTTCTCTGGTCGAAGATGATACTTGTTGAGCTGATGATTTGCTGATGCATAAACAACTGCTTACCAAAAGACTGAGACTTGAGATGACCGCAGGCTGTTAGCATTAGAGATCGAGTTATGAAGCACAGCTGTGACCGCATTGCTTTGTAAAGGGTTTGAAGAGGACGGATAACAATGTGTGAGCTGGGTAGCAGTGATGTCCTTAGTCATCAGCTGCTTGCTGAGAGAATTGAGTGCAGAACAGAAAAGCAGCTTTGCTGCTCTCGCCCTGTGCAGGTGTGTGTGAGCTGTGTGCTTCCATGTTAAAAGTGAATCCTTTTTGTTTCAGGTCTGAGACCCAAGAAGACCGAGCTCTCCGTCAGCAGCAGCAGCAGCAGCGGAAAGACCTCCTGTATTGAATCTGTTTCAGTCAAAGCTTGGGCTTATCAACGAATAAAATCTCTGTAAAAGACTACACTTGTCTGGTGTTTTTCACAAATGTAACATGTACATGTTGGTCCCACTTCAACCACTCTGATGCCAGGAAAAGATGATCAATAATCTATAAACTAATCAATAAGGTGGCATAATGCTTTATGGAAGGCTGCAGAATAAATGTTCTCTGCAAACGGGCCGTGACTCTCTGACCGTCACTTGTTTGTTGTTGAGCTAAAATGTTCCTATTAATGCTAAATGGAGTCTTATTTCTGGACTTTGATTCCATGTCCTACAGTGATTGACGCCTGCCTTCAGTGACTAGTTACACTGCGTAGTCTGAGTCATTCGGGGTTCAAGTGCCTCTAATGGTCCCTCTTTCCACAGTAAATATCCTTATTCACGTGCGCCTCCTCACCTTGTAGACATACTGGATCCATAGTTGCTCTTTTCTAAATCCAATTTGATATTTTGACAAGATTCCGAGATTCCAAATGAGTCTGGTCTCCAGCATTGACTTCCCACTTTGGGGAAAATCACTACCTGTAGTTTGATGGACTGGTGGGATCTTTCGCTGGTGTCGTGTACCATAACGGTTTGTTTCTAAAGTCCTAACATTCCTTCCTGCCAAACTTTATTGTACAAATGAAACGTCACCACTAAATCAGACAGTTGGTTCAACGTGACGTAGCAAATCTGATCCTTACCTGCAGCAGTTAGACCTGATCTATTTTTTATTCTGTTCCCCAAACTTGATTGCTTCTTCCTATTGTTACAAAACGGCCTTTAATACTTCCATTGATCTGTTTTCTGTACCCCTGCTCGCATTCTCTTGTACCGTATTACACTTTTAAAATGAAGGATGTTTATTACCTCGCTGCACTCATCATTCCATGGAACTACCTTATCTTGGTCCCGCATTTCCATGTCTGATTGGCAGCTCCAATTATTTCTTCTTTCTCATTTCATTTAATATTTCTATATCCTGTTTTCTTCATCTCTAATGTTCTCTAAGTTTATCCCACTGAGCCTTTCCAAATCAGAACCTTCCGATCCCACGTCCCCTTCCTGCTCTGCAGAAAATCACTTCCAGCAGTAGACTCCTACCTCCCAAACACAAATACCTGCCACGACCACGATGCTAAAGGGACAGAAATCCACACGACAGTAGCTGGATGGTGGATCTTTCCACAGAGGGTTGGGTCGCGTGCGTTGGTGCATACAAAGAGGGGGTTGGATCGGATCTGCTGGAACGCACCATTGCTTGCACCAACGCTGAATAACCAATTTTGGCTTGTACAGGACGTCCCCCTCCTCTCTTACAGACCATCTCACTAAACAGTACACACAGGCGCTGTAAACGGCACTGCAGCGAGACATTCTGTGGAAACATAACCTGAAGCCACTCTGAGGCAAAGAGGAGTTGATTTTTTTTCCTCTCCACACAAAGCAAACGGAGACACTGAAAACGTTCTCGCCTTTAAACTAAACGAGCCTCTGCTGAGGATATTTTTTTGGGGGGTTCTACAGGGGATTTCATCATTTATATAGATTTTGATTTTTAATGCTATTAACGCATTGACATTTAACACCGAACTTGAAATCCCACCCGTTCCCCTCTTTGTTAACTGAGGGGATGAAGAAATTCAATTCCCACAAAATGTCGGTCGCTCTGACCTCTCAATGATCTACTTTGACCGTATATTTAAATTAGAATTCCCTCAATATAATTTCCTCAGTTGTGTCCCTTGATTATAACATTTTGATATATTTCATGATTTTATTGCTGTTCCAATGACGTGTAAATCTTTATCATTCTTGACTTCTGACATGCTTTTGTGTTTTTATTCACCGTGTGATGTTCCAGGCTCCACCGATGAGCGCCGCTGTTTGTTTGTGTCACATCGAAGTGAGAGGAAAGCAGCGAAGAAGAATCCCCGGAAGCTACATTTTGTGAGCACGCGGTACGTCCGGCCTTTCCAACAGGGCAGCGAGAGGGAACATGGTGAGCAGCTCGACACTTGTCCATCAACTAGTATATTATTACGTTTATCTGAACTAAACACCATTAAATATTTGTTATACATATCCATGAGATTCCTGGGCGTTTTTTCATACATGAATTGTTAAGTAGGCTTCTGCCGGAAGGTGATAAAAGTCATATTCTCGAGCGTTGCGTCGGACAGACGGCGCTAGGCTATGTTGCTAGCTGTAGTTAAGCTAATCGGAACGCGTCTAGTTACTTTTTACCGTATTTTCGGACCCGGTAGTCCACAAAAAAGAACGAGCAATACAACAAAACCTAATATACAAGAAAATACATGGACACCTCGTGTTTTCTGAAAGGGGAAAAACGAGTATCACTGCGTTGGATCCGTTAAGGCCTTTATTGATAGCCTGCTAGATTGCTGGGCATTAATCACAGATAAAGTAGAGCCTTTGTTTATTTGCACAAATAGACAAAGTAGCTTTAATTGGTATCTCAATGAGGCAATCCGGACAAATACTATTGTAACCATGAGTGTAATCTGTGTTCTCGGCGTTGGCCGGCTGACGCGTGTCGGGAACAGACGATATCTTCCATTGGCGACACCTGCACGGTGCCTCCACTTAAACCCTTTTCTTATGTCACGGACCAGGCCAAGATTAAGGCTCGAGATCTGCGGGGCAAGAAGAAGGAGGAGCTGCTTAAGCAGCTGGACGACCTAAAAAACGAGCTGTCCCAGCTGCGTGTGGCCAAGGTTACCGGTGGAGCCGCTTCCAAGCTCTCCAAGATGTAAGTTACATGGACACGATCTCACCGGACACGTTCTTCTAGTCAGGTTGATCCTGATTGAATGGCTGGACTTGGCTATATTGTTATGCTACATTCAGGTGCTGTTGTATAGAGCTGGTGTCAGGCAGTCCAGAGCATCAGTGATGAGCTGTCTGTTTGCCTGTGATTGAAATACCATGTATTCTAATCCAAAAGGTCAAATGTAAAACTAGTAAATGTTAAATTAATGTATTAAGGGAAATGTTACTACTTGCACATGTGCCAGGACCAGTACACTATTGCAGTTTCACTCCAATCTGAAATCACAAAAAATGCAATGTCCTTTGAGTGGGAGGTTGTATGTTCAACTAACAAAGTTCACGTGACGGATCGGAAGCGTAATGCTAGCCGGACAGCCCGGTCTGCTTTTGGCACCACGTGTCTGACTGGCGTCTTCTTCATTACAGCCGCGTTGTCCGCAAGTCCATCGCAAGAGTGCTGACTGTAATCAACCAGACGCAGAAGGAGAACCTGAGGAAGTTCTACAAGGTGAGCGCAACCATCTGTTTTGGGTTGTAGGAACACGTGCTCCTCAGCGCTCATGGAGACATCTCCGTGTGGTTCTCTGGTCGAAGATGATACTTGTTGAGCTGATGATTTGCTGATGCATAAACAACTGCTTACCAAAAGACTGAGACTTGAGATGACCGCAGTGTTCCTCCTGATGGAGATGTTCCTTCCATACGGACATCTGCTGGGGCTGTTTGCATTAGAGATCGAGTTATGAAGCACAGCTGTGACCGCATTGCTTTGTAAAGGGTTTGAAGAGGACGGATAACAATGTGTGAGCTGGGTAGCAGTGATGTCCTTAGTCATCAGCTGCTTGCTGAGAGAATTAAGTGCAGAACAGAAAAGCAGCTTTGCTGCTCTCGCCCTGTGCAGGTGTGTGTATGTAGTTAAAAGTGAATCCTTTTTGTTTCAGGGTAAGAAGTATAAGCCCCTGGATCTGAGACCCAAGAAGACCAGAGCGATGCGCCGCCAACTCAACAAGCACGAGGAGGGTCTGCGGACCAAGAAGCAGCAGAGGAAAGACCTCCTGTACTCAATCCGCAAATTTGCCGTCAAAGCTTAGGCTTTTTATCAACAAATAAAATCTCTGTAAAAGACTACACTTGTCTGGTGATGTTGGTCCCACTTCAACCACTCTGATGCTCGCAAAAGATGATCAATAATGCACAAATGTTTCTCCGTGACCCGATCTGTGGTTACCAGACCGTTTGGTCCTAAACAATCGAGACCATCTTAAATATGGTTTAGAATTGCTGCAGATAATATTGCAACATACTGCAGTAAAACCGTCAATAGAGCCAAATGCATCACACAACCATGAGATTATTTATTGTATTATAATGGGATTTGTGATATTTTAAAAAATGCCTGTATATTTAATATATGCATGCATTTTAATAGTTCACGTAAGTTAAAGGTTATACATTTAGTTGTATATTCAGTTTGCAATTCAAAGTAATTTTTCTCAAAACTGTCCATACCAGTGTGGTTTGACCCGATTTGCCACCTGTCAATCACTGCTGGCCTGTATTACATCTTTCAACCAAAAATTCTTTTTGCTGTTTAGGAGTTACTGGCTTTAAAAATACTCTGCTCTGTCCCGTCTTGTTCATGGGAGCTGCAGCATTTAACACATAATCATGCTAACGAACTGCCTTGTGAACCTTTTCTCATGTCCTCAGCGGGTTTTGGGACGGTCGTGATGGAGCCTCACACCTTCATGATGCCAGTGAGAAGTATGTATTTAATACGCATTTGTACAAGGGGAATAGCGTTGTGTTGATTTCCTCTGAAGAGTCAGCAAATTGGGATGTAATTGACTCCACTATGAGAAAATCTTTCACTAGATCCCAACAATGAGAAGTATCAGAACTTGCAGATGTCCAATGTCAGAGACATTTGTCTGACTTGGTGAACCTAGTAGATCATGAACCGTCATCAGCTGAAGAAGCAGTGTAATTAATACAGTACAGGGACACGATTTGGACTATAGTTTCACTTCAATTCATTTTATTTTGTATAGCCCAAAACGCTCTTATCCAAAGCGACTTACAATAAGTGCATTCAACCATAAGGATACAAACTCAGAGGAGCAAGAAACAAAGTGCAATTTCCTCAAATAAGCCAATTTACAATTTGCTATAGATAAGAACCATTATACAATGTAAGTGCTACAGTTAGTGTGTTAGTGGAGGTAGAGTCTGAAGAGGTGTGTCTTTAGTCTGAAGATGTGAAGGCTCTCTGTGGTCCTGATGTCTTCAGAGACCTCCTTCCACCATTTAGGAGCAGGACAGCAGAGAGTGGAGATCTAGTCGAGTGTTTTGCTCTCAGTGAGGAGGAACAAGCAGTTTATCACATGCAGAGCGGAGAGTGCGGGTCGGGATGTCGGGTTGGACCAGGTCCTGGATGTAAGCTGGACCCCATCCATTCACAGCACGGTACGTGAGCACCATGTTTAGAACTGGATGAGCCACCGGTACCAGTGAAGAGAGTGGAGGAGTGAGGGAGAACTTAGGAAGGTTAAAGACCAGTGGAGCTGCTGCATTCTGGATGAGCTGCAGAGGTGGAATGGAGGTAGCAGGAGACCTGCAGGAGACAGTTACAGTAGTCCAGGAGGGAGACGACAGGAGCCTGAATCAGAACCTTCTGAGTGAGAAGAGGACGTGTTCTCCTGATGTTGTAGAGCGAGTATCTACAGGATGGTGTTGTCACTGATGTTGGGAGTCAGGGTGTGTGACATCCTCTGTCCCAAAACCTTCACACCGGCTCAGGAGAAACTCCCCCCCCCAAAAAAACCTTTGACGGGACAATGAACAGTGTAAAAGATGTACAAGACATTCAATTCATACAACAGAAATACAAATAATTGTGAGTAGTAAGCCAGGTGTACGGCAGGACCACTGCAGCGACAACCACCATCAGATGGAACCACCATCAGATAGAACCACCATCAGGTAGAACCACCAACACATAGAACCACCAACACATAGAACCACCATCAGGTAGAACCACCATCAGGTAGAACCACCATCAGATAGAACCACCATCAGATGGAACCACCATCCAAAGAAACCTGTCTACCAGGGTTGACAGACATATAAATTGTAGAAGTCCGTTGATGCAGGTTGATGGAAGAGAATCTATCCAACTAAGTATCAGCGTTCACAGCTGCATCAGAGGTTCCTACATCGGACAGATCGGCACTGATTGAAGTCAGGAGACCCTTAAATTTCTCTTTAATAGTTAATAGAATCTAATCATCCAAGAAGTAAAGTCGTGACTGCTGAGGTCCAAAGGAATACCCGGCTCAACAAAGCTGCAGCTCTCTGTCAGTCTGCCTACAGTGCTGAAGAGAAGCCTGGGGTTGTTTTTCTTTACTTGACACATGACTTGGACTCTATTTCAGAGACGAGACATACTTGGACTATGAGTGACCCGGAACCGGCGGCCAGCGTTTTGTTGCATTGGACACTGATCAGAACACGGTGGGGCTCAGGAATGCTTGGTATGGCATCACCTTTATTCTAATTACTTTCCTACCATCCAGAGACGCCCCATGCAACGCCCCACACAACACACGTCTTGTCCCAGTCCCGTGGACGAGTGCACACAGACACCATGAGCCTCCAGGCCGTCGTCCTTGCGCTCTTCGTCTGTTTCCACGCCTTTTCTTCATCTCCCTCCGCTCATCCGAGCGACGCAAAGCAGTCGGGCTGCTTCAAAGTCAACAACTGCAAATGCATCATGAAGGATGGCAGCGGGGTGATAAACCTGAGGGCCACGGGGGACGCCGACGGGTTCCTGGGCCGTTGGAAGCCTGTGTCAACAGAGGTCCTGCTGTCCTTCAGCCCCTGCCAGCCCTTCTCACAGCCAGAGGACCTGACAGGAACGGACTGTACCGACGTCGCTGCATGTCTCATTGTCAGGTAGGCGAGGCATTCACCTTGTGTGACCTTTGACCTTTGAGGTGTGCTCCTGCGGCAAATCTGCATGCAGCCAATCCGTCACTTCTTGGTGTATTCTGCGTTGCTATGCAGTAAGAAATGCAGCACAAAGGATGCTATGGACACATGTGGGACATTTCCAACAGCACAGCTCAACGTGACACTCAGTTCTCATTAAATAAAGAGATGAATCGGATGCTGGATACGTGCTGGCGACGAGTTAGGAGGATCAGTTTATTGCTGCCTAGGTTTTCTCATTGGATTAAGAATGCGTCTCAATGAGCTTGGCATGAGCCGTCCCAGTGTGTCCTCTTAGCAGGGACGGGGACATGACCAGGGAAGGCTGGCATCGGTTATGTAGGAACATCCTGGAGGTAAACCCTCTGTTAATAAATGAAAGTACTCCTGGATAGTGACATGCTGTGTGAGTGATACTGTGAAGTATTGTGGCCCTGTATCTAGGTAGAAGTACCTCTACCCCTACCAGTATCACCCCTGTGCTCATAGCTCAAACGCAGATTCAGGCTGGATTCAACTAACGTCTCTTCCTGCCCACTATTCCATGAGCTCTGTGGAAACCGTCGAGGGGTCAAGGAAAGAGGTCGTTTTCCACAGAGGTCAGGGAATGGTGGTTAGGAATAAACGTAAGGCGGTAACCAACACGCATGATGTAAACACACTGGGGGGATGCAGGTGATTGGACACAGCAGGAAACGATCAGGGACGCCAATCACACTCACCAGGACAGGAAGCGAAGTTAACCCAGGGACTCGAGAGGCAGAAAACTACAAAATAAAACAGGAAATTACTTAATTCAGTGGTTCCCAAACTACTGATATTCTATTTGGTGATATAGGAACATTGAAGCCCCCCTAATGGGTCACACCTTCTATGTTTCAATTTAATTGTATTATAATACAAAAACTATACCTTCTAAAATAATACACAATATACATAATACATAAATACATATCACTTTTCCTCTTCAGTGTATTGTTTTATCTTCATCTTACCTTTTACCTGCTTTATGCTATTTTTGTCTTACACCAGTCACACGTGTGGACACGTTGGCACATCACAAACGTTTTTTGTCTCTTATCGTTTTCTCTTTTGTCTGTCTCTCTTTGAGTGAAAGGAGTGCTAAGTTTTAAAAATATTTTCTTTTATATTGTTCTTATTTATTTGTATAAGGAAACCTTTACGTAGAGCCGGTGGAGAGTAAAGTCAGATTCCATGTATGTGAGCATAGATTCTAACTCCTCGGTAACTCGAGGGGGGGAAGCTGCTGTTGTATCGAAGCTTGATGTACTGATGTCACCGTGCCGGAGCAATCGTGAGTTAGAAACGCTTTTCATAGACTGAAAACCTTTTTATTCACTGAGGGAGTTTTCCTCTTCCATACTGGCCGGTGTTACACCCCTACTGGTTTTTCCACCTACTGGTTTCCCTACGCGTGCGTGTTTGTGTTCACTCCACAGCTGCAGATGTGTCCGCCTCAGTTCCCTGATTCGTCACACATTCACAAACATATTGCTGAAAATCTTCAAAACGCATCACAAATCCATTGCAGCGTTTACGATTGTATAAGTGAGCACCACATCACGGCCACGTATGAAAACATTTATATAAAAAAATATATTAAAGGAAAGATCGGCACAACCTGGATTCGAACCCGGGGGATCAAAACATCAAAATAGTAACCTGGCGGCCGCTCTTAGCAGTGCGCCACGAAGACACACAGCAAATTATTGACCCTTAGTATAATTTATTCATTTTGTTGACGTAGATAAGCATGGAGGAAACCTTTTGGTGTCGTGGATTTAAAACAACTGGTTACCTTGGGCGGGTCTTGGAACACTTCAGGACATGTGCAACGCTACTTCTTCACGAGGCTGCAGCCTTGCAGCGACACATTTTGATAAAGAAAGGATATTGTTTTCTTACGGCCATCGCGTGACGTAAACCACAGACACGAACAAAACAAAGTTTAGAAAATATATTAAAAGATCGAACCGACCAAGTTGCGAACCCATGCAGCAAAATGCAATCGTATCAAACTGCTGCTAGCGCTATGCGCTGCGCCACGGGGCAGTACGCAGATTTAGGACTTAATATATTAATGGAGCGTGATTGACACGGAGGAAACCTTCTGGTGGAGGGGATCTAAAACAACTGGTTACCTTGGGCGTGTCTTGGAACACATGAAAAACCCCATGAGGTCGTACATACGATCTTTCCGAACAAGAGATGGACCCACAAAAAGTGAAGGAATTAAGTGAAACAGATCGTACACTTGCAAAACTTCTATTAGGAATCAAATACCTTATAAAGCTCCCAAAAGGAAATTTTATTAAATAATTGTGTTTTAACAGTCACAATAAATAAATCATTGAAAAACAAAATAAAGTAGCTCTAAAGAAAGCATGCTGGACAGCAGAAGTCCTGCTCCAAAGGTGGTTTCTCAGTGCAAACTCAGTGGAACCACAAATGGATGTCACGGAAGACACGCCCAAGGTAACCAGTTGTTTCAGATCCATTGACACTAGAAGGTTTCCACCACGCCAATCACCATCTACTAATATATTAAGACGAAACCCTGCGTACTGCCCCGTGGCGCAGCGCATAGCGCTAGCAGCAGTTTGATACGGTTGCATTTTGCTGCATGGGTTCGCAACTTGGTCGGTTCGATCTTTTAATATATTTTCTAAACTTTGTTTTGTTCGTGTCTGTGGTTTACGTCACGCGATGGCCGTAAGAAAACAATATCCTTTCTTTATCAAAATGTGTCGCTGCAAGGCTGCAGCCTCGTGAAGAAGTAGCGTTGCACATGTCCTGAAGTGTTCCAAGACCCGCCCAAGGTAACCAGTTGTTTTAAATCCACGACACCAAAAGGTTTCCTCCATGCTTATCTACGTCAACAAAATGAACAAATTATACTAAGGGTCAATAATTTGCTGTTTGCTTCGTGGCGCACTGCTAAGAGCGGCCGCCAGGTTACTATTTTGATGTTTTGATCCCCCGGGTTCGAATCCAGGTTGTGCCGATCTTTCCTTTAATATATTTTTTTATATAAATGTTTTCATACGTGGCCGTGATGTGGTGCTCACTTATACAATCGTAAACGCTGCAATGGATTTGTGATGCGTTTTGAAGATTTTCAGCAATATGTTTGTGAATGTGTGACGAATCAGGGAACTGAGGCGGACACATCTGCAGCTGTGGAGTGAACACAAACACGCACGCGTAGGGAAACCAGTAGGTGGAAAAACCAGTAGGGGTGTAACACCGGTGTTTAGGTCCCAACTCACGGAGCGATCCTGTCCACGCACGCCAGGAACACTGCTAAAGTAAAATAAACCTATTTTGGACGAATATTTTATAAGTTCCTATATTATAATGCTTAATTGATTAAATAAAAAAGGTATGACCCATTTACTTACTATATAAAAGGGGGCCCGACAGAAGAGGGAACCACTGAATGTGCCACGGTGTGGGTTCAGTTCCTGTTTTATTTTGTAGCTTCCATTGGACTGAACTATTTACTGAGGGAGGTTAATTTGTGATCGTGTGTTGTGGCCACCGGGGGGCGCTGTGCTGTGCTCTTTCACTGCCCTCACACGCGTGTGATGTGGCTGCTTGCTTGTGGTGTTGGTTGAGATTGAACATTGAGCCGTGTCCTCGGAGACACGTCCTCATCCAGCTTGGTGACATTGTCCCATGTAATGTGAACGTGCACCACAGGCTCAACGGACACACCGGCCACTACGTCAGCTACGGGAGACACGACGGGAACCAATTCCACTACAACGACACCACGAAGACACTGTCCGTCTCCTACCTGGGTGAGCTGAAACACAATCATCGCAGAGCACGACTCCCGTCGCAGACCGCCCTGTCAGCGTCCTCGTCTCCTGCAGGCGAGGACGAGCAGCCGCTGACGGTCGTGCACTACCACTGCAGTCCGAACCGGTCGGCCTCTGTCGTCAGCCAGCTGAGCCTCGGCGCAGAGCAGCCCCTGCACATGTGGGTGGAGAGCCCCTGTGCCTGTCCCAATTACTGCGCCATGGGGGATCTGGGTGTAGGCACCATCTTCCTCATCATCCTCTCCCTCAGCGCTGCGGCATACTTCATTCTTGGTAACGCTTTATATTACATTCAGGTTAGACGCAGGCAATCATGTTACGTGTAAGAGTTGAGGGTGTGTTTCATCTAACCCTTTGTTACTACGTTCACACCATCATCTTGTCCTTGCACCACAGGCTCCTGTGCTCTGAGGCCCTTTCGGAGCAGCAGTGGAGTCCAGATCTCTCCAGAGCGCAGCGTGTGGTGTATGATCTGTTACCACTGCACTGAGAGCAGGCCAGCTAGACGACGCTACGCAGACCCGACCCACTAAGGAAGCCTGCGAGATGTCTCAGCATGTCCCTCGGGGGGGGGACCTACAGAGGTCTCGTCCCGTGATTAGTTTAGCAATGTAGTGGAGGCCACACACACGCTCTCCATAAGCCTTCATACACATTGTATGGACCTTTTCAGGAACTGATACACGTGGTTGTTTTGCATTCACTTCCTTTTGTGTCCTACGTATCACATACAAAATAAAGACATTTGTTAAATATTGTGCAAAAAAAGTGCTTTAGTTAGTAAATATACGTTTGTGTAGTTAATATAATAATAAAAAGCACGCATTGTCACAGGCTCTTTGACCCCACAGGAATGCAGTATTTTATTTTGGTAGCTCTCCTGTGCTCCGGCCGTCTCTGAGGCTCCTACTGTGGGCTGTGATGGCGTCAGATAGCGTGCTGCTGAGGGCCGGGGCCTGACTGGAGTGTGGAGGACATTTGTCCTCTGCTCTTCTCCCCTGCAAAGAGCAAAGCAACATATACGGTGATATATCAGGTCCACAAACAGTTTACTGCTGGACTGACTGGAGGAAGCAAGAAGGCTTCCTTCAATATGAAGTGTGCACTTACAGAACGTGACATGATGGGATGTGACGAGCGACTAAAGGTAAAGGCCACTCAAACTATATCCAAACAATCAAAGCTAGAGCCGTGTTGTCTCTAAACAGGGGATTATGGAAGTGTACATAACAGGAAGTGCTCATCAACTTTCCACAAGGAACACACTTTTTCTATGATCTGTGAAAATCCCTCGCGAGTAAGTTCAAGAGGCCTTATGATTATGGTCAAACATGAATGCATTTGAAATGGTGTTTTAACTTGTGTTTGTCCCACATGGACTTGAGGGATCAGTCGGCGTCTGAGTCACAGCCGCCCCTCCCTCCAAAAGGTTTGGATTTGGGATGTTTTGAAACGAAAACAACTCGGCACTTCACAATATGAAGAACAGATTTTTCTCCCCGGCCGTTTCTTGAGACGACAACACGCTACTGAGCAGAAGCAGCTTTCTTTTCATTACTACTTTCATTTACTAGTTGGTTCAACTGTATTATTCTATTATTGTACAAAGTTACCGACAATGTCTCACCTGTTGCTTTCTCCGCTCTGACCTGAGCTCATGCTAACGTCAGCTAGCTCCATGATGCAGGTGATGCTAATCAGTGAATGTTGAGGACCACAGCTCACTAAATATACACCACATTAATGTGTGATTTCCTTTCCTTAAGTTTAGTCCGCTAGTCGTCTTTGGCTTTGTTCCTACGAAGGAAACAGTTAGCACGTTAGCATTCCTTCTGCATTACAGCTTGTAACAAACTGCTTCAGCTCCATTGAGCCTCCATGTCTTTGTCCATCTCCACACATTACTCGCAATGTCACCTCATCCTGAATGATTGCGTGGATGTACATATTCCATTAGACGCATATCAGCATTCACTCAGCTTTTCCAATTACCTGGGGTATTATTTTTGGGGACCCCACCCTGCAACTGACATCACATCTGCGCTGTGTTTTGCAGCTCTGTTCCAGATGTGAAGGAAATTACCAGAGGAACAGTTCATGAAAACAAGACTGATGGCGGCTCTGAAACAGCAGCCCCTCCACACACTCACACCTCAGGGGGCTCATCGCCTTCGTCGGGCCCCCCCCGCTCCTCATCGTCACCGAGCGATGAAGGCAGATACAGATGCAGTTGTGAGACCTTTGCGTCGCCAGGATGTCCGTGATGACCGGCCTCTTCTTGTCACGGGGAGCTGTTGGAGTTTCTGGGAGGAGAAGGTGTTTCAAAGACACGCAGCGGGATTCAGCATAACTACGACTCAATAACTTTGTCTCACGGTAGCCAGAATACAACCAACATGCAGCAAAAACACACACTGCCCTCAATACAAATAATTCAGCAGGAATGCAGAAAAGGATGATTTGTTGGCGTCATCAGCACAGCTGCACGTCTCCGAAGCCAGAAGGAGCCTGCATGGGATTGTGGACTGTGTGTGTGTGTGTGTGTGTGTGTGTGTGTGTGTGCTGATCAAAAGGACCTTTAAAGTGAATAACAGTGTGAGTAAACACCACAGTTAGTCCCGGTTATGAAAGCAACAGTCTTTATTAGCAGCAGAGCAGAGAATTCCAAATACTGTGCCGGGTCCAACAGGTGAGCGGCAGGAGAATTTATTAGGGTCACTAAACAGATTAGTTTCTTCCATCGTCTTTTATTTAGCATTTATATCTGCAGTGCAGCCGTGAGTCATCAGGCAGCCTGTGCTGATTATTGTGGTCTAGGAAATGAAAATACTAAAGTGTACGCACACGTTTTAACAACTCTGTATTATCTATGTTGTGAAACTGATGGATGCGTGGTAACATTTACCTGTTTCACTGACTGGATCTCCACCCTGTCAAGGCCTTCTTCCCGCCATTCATCACGCAAACACACATGTTTGAATTGACTTGAATTGTGAGTACTTGTTGTTGCACAGGGCATGGCGAAGCTTTTAAAGCAACACATGATGACCTTATGTATTTGGGTGTATCTGTTCAGACTCTGCATTGAATTTATTGTAATGGAGCTGAAACATTCCTAAAAATGTTTGGGTCTGTCGTTCCACTAAGTGAAACCAGGATTTACATTGGGTTCAATATGTTCAAATAATGTGTCATCCACATGGTCTGGTCAAATATTTCTCAGGACAGGATACAATTCAATTCGTACAGCACCAAAATCCCAAATCTGCCTCAGAGGGCTTCACAGTCTGTACACATGCGACATGCTCAGTCTGGAAATAAACCTAAACCTGTCAAACCCACAAAGGATGAAAGGAAAAAACAACATAGTATCTGGACACGAGCCTCCACAACGGGTTTCTTTGAACTGTAGCTGGATGATGTTCAGTGCAGAGAAAGATTGAAATAAATTATTACATTAGTTCCCGGTTCCTAAGTAAAAAGAAACGAAAAACAGACTCAGAATGTTGTTCTCGCATCAACAACTTCTTACTTGTTTCAAGTCTGAAAGCTTCTCCCTGTCTCTTAGATCCCATCCCAACGAGGCGGCTTAAAGAAGTTTTTCCTTTAGTGAGCACGTTACTGGATATTAAGAAGCCTACTCTCTACTCAGACATATCTCTGATCTTCCCTTCCTCTCTAACATCCTTGAGAAGGCAGTCGCTAATCGGCTGTGTGACTTTCTACATAAGAATGATTCATTTAAGGAGTTTCGGCGTGGATTTAGAGAGCATCATAGAAAACGACCTTCTGCGTTCATCAGACCAAGGACTCGTCTCTGTTCTTGTCTCCTTGGACCGCAGTGCTGCGTTTGACACCTCGGATCATTGCATCCTGATGGAGAGACTAGAACGATTGGTGGAAACGTGCGAATTGGCCAACAGGATTCTGGTCCGTAAGGTTCTGTTCTTGGAGGGAATGTCATCAGAAGACACTGCATATACACAAAACACACAAAACACTCCTCAAATGAATGTATTAAAATAAAAAACTGGTGCCAGAAAATGTAACAACATACAGTATGTATTTCGTATTTAAAAGATAGGAAGTACCTTTTTCTGGATTATTATATACTATATAATAATAATATTGTGACATTGTGACGTTCACATTGAGAAGATACAGCGTAACTTACGTACAGTGCAAGATGATATCTTTAAAACAAGACGCCTCTTCCTGTAGCTAAACACTAACGTTAGCTATGCAATAGCCTGGACAGCATGCTAGCTTCATTAGCATGTCAGCATCGATATGATATTATAACCATCAGCTATGTAGCCAGACCCAGACATAAATTACACATTAAGCTAGTCGACATCTGTCACACTCGGGTACAGATTTATCTTGACAGAGGAACTCGAGGACCTGAAGACTGATGTGGGGTCCACAGGATTGAGATGCACAGTAAATGCCCCATTACTCCATGTATTCACATTTGATTAGCTAATTCTCAGTTTATTAACTTGGCATAGCGGGACAGGTTTACGTGCGCTTGAAGAAGGAAAAAGGAAATGGAGTAAAAGTACCTGCCGTAACTTCTCCTTATTAAAAATACTACCCAACTCTGTGTGCAGACGGTAATCAATTGTATCATCAATTAATCCAGATTAGACCATCCCGTAAAACTAGCATGTTTTAAGGACGTCAAAACCTGAATGACCAGCAACTTCCTGATCTTGAACTCAGTTTAAACAGCGGCTATTTTATTATGATTAATAAAGTAATTTGTCTGGTGATAAAGTCCCTCTGGACGGCTTTGCTCTGGTATCCAGCAGCACCTTAAAGAATCTTGAAGTTATCTTCAACCAGGATGTGTCCTCTAACTCTCAGATAAAAACAAACTCCAAGGCCTGAGAACGTTATCGAGAATTAGGCCCTTTCTGTCTCGAAGTGATGCAGAAAAAATAGTTCATGCATTTGTCACAGTAGATTACTGCAATGCTTTAATATCAAGCTGCTCTAATAAGTCTTAAGTCTTTCTAGTTTATCCAGGATGCTTCAGCTCGACTATTAACAAGAACTAATAAAAGGGCCCATGTTACCTGTACTAGCCTCTGTGGGCCTGGACCAGCCCTTAGGTAAACTGCTATAGGCCTGCTGCTGATGGAGAACATCATGTCCGATCCCTTTTAGAGAATACGGCAGCGGCTTCCTGGGACAAAAACGGTTCACACGGCGTGCACGTCTTACACACAAGACGCCCGAACAGTAAGCATGTGCTTTTGGTTTGGAATAGTGTTACAGTTCTGTCATGAACTCTTACCTGCTCTCATTCAGACATTGAAAGGCTCCCTGAGGAATCCCACATGGAGATCTTGAATGAAATCCCATTTGTAATGTTCCTCTGAATCTGGATCGACACTCAACAGCTGATTTTACCAGCAGGGATGTTTCTGTAGTTCCGCTCAACTGTTGCTGAGGGACTATGAGCTCACTCTGAGTTTGTTTGAGGTTGGTAGGGCCCTGGGGGGATGGGGGGGCCGTTAACCCCCTCCCTGTCTGCCGTGTTGAAGGGCCACAGTACCAGCTAATCAAGCTATTCAGAGTAGGTCCATTCCGCATGAGGGCTTTACGTGACCTCTGGAGTGTGTCATTTGGGTCACTTGGTGCAAACACATTGTGGCTTTGTGGTTTAACTCATTGCCAAGTGATGTCTTTCTTAATGATTCCATGTCTGATATTATGTCACAAATATACGCCCTGCTTAGGCAGACATTGCTCCTCTATGTCTTTACATTCTGTGCGACAGCCTCTAGTCTAGACAATATAACCTAGGCTTAGAGTAGCTGAAACCGGTTGTTTCACCCTCCTAAACTAATGTTGGGCAGCTAAAAAAGGTAACACGGTAAACAGCATTGTCACGGTGTACGTTCTTGGGGGGTAACGGAACAGGCAGGACACAGCAGGTCCGGTTGATAATCCTTTGATAATCCTTTTATTTAGTTGCTTCCGTTGTCCATGCAGCGAGAGCTCCCGGCGTGTCGCTCGCTCGTTCTGCGGCGGTCTCGGTCCTCCCGATCGCCCTTACTGCATTTCAAACAATAAAACCAACACCATCAACACGCATTCAGCTCAGCTGAGGCCAATTGCCTCCACCTGCCACCCTTCCCTGAGCCCCTCCACGTCTTTCTCCCCCCTCTGCAGACGAGCCAAAAGCAACCCCGCCACCGCGGGGATAAACTGTGCACCGCTCCAGACAGCCTGCATTCATATGTACAAGTTGTAGTGACAATGCAGCAAAAGCAACTTCTAGCATTTCCCTGAGTTTGTGAATAGATGACATCATGGTTCTTTGTGTAACTGCAGCAGCAGTAATTCACCTTAAAGCCCATATTCCTGTGGTTGTAATCCAAAATATACAAGTCTATATTAGTTGATTGGTTGTCTTATTAATTTCAGACGTCATATCGACCATAATGTCTTTTTGCTTTAATGCCAAAATGAATAAATATCTAGTACCAGGAGAATGAAACTCTGTCTGAATGTGTGATGCTTACAGTGTGTCTAGGGGAGCGCCAGCCTTCACAAGGGATCCAGCCGCTGTAGGAAGGTGCGTGAAGAACAAAGCCTCTACTGGGACGATTGCTTTGTTTAGTTGATGATCCCCGTGGACTCTATTGTACTGTGGACATGGAACAGAGGCGGCCTCATGAATCCAGGCCGGGGTCATAACTCAAAAGGTGAGGCTCTAAAACACGTGATCGTGCGTGAGGAATCATCTTAACATTTCTCAGTGGATTTGGGGCTCCTCTGTGATGCTTTTATCACCCCGTCATACTGATTGAACTTAAAAGGAGGACAGGTGCAGAAGGAATTCGTGCAGTCTGCACTGCATCTGTCTTCGCTTCACTTTCCCTTGAGATGGATTCTAGTATTGTCTGCGGTTTGGGGGGGTTAATATTTCCTTTTACACAGCAGTTTCATTGGCAGCATTGCTTTTTGATGGTTTCCAGGACACAGAAGCTGAGCCACCGCCATCCGCGAGCTGGCATCCCAGGGACAAATGAGTCCGTCAAGTGATGCTCCCGTGCATCTACTGTGGCTGCCGCATTCTATTTGTCCGTTTTCACATCATTGTGGATGGACCACGGGCTGGACGAGCCAGAAGGGGGGGGGGGGCACGGCCTTTCTAAGTAGTGAGGTTGGCACATGACCAGCCGTTTGGCTCTGGGAGTTGTCTGTGTTATTGTTTGTGTAGATGCTGTTTTCAGGGATACAAAACAATCAACCCAAGTCATTTGATACTCTCTCACACCAACAACTCATAAAACAGGTTTGTTCAACTTGTAATGCATCATTTAGTAAAGCGGAGGAGGCATTTCAGCCCCATGGTGGTTTGATTCTTATTTTGCTTAAAATAGACGCCATGTAACTTTGGAACTGACTCAACAAGGATGTTTGTCCTTGCACATTAGAACATCAGCCTTATCTACAAGAGTTTAATAGAAAGCATGTGTGGCTGCTTTCCACAGGCCTCTGGAGACAATGCTTCACATGACCTTTCACCGCTGCTGCCACATGCTCTCTGTATTGTGCCTCACCTTATATTAACTAGTTCTGATACTTGGATGTTGAACAGCTGCCGTGAAGCTCGAGCTGTGATAAATACCCCGAACACCACTGAGCTCAATAGCAGTTATTGAGGGATGAGATGACATCACAAACTGCTTTCAAGACATTCATCTTCTGCTTTTTTTCTGTCAACCAATTTCATATATGGCTGTTAGAGGAAACTTCAATGATCCCTGTGGAAAAATTTGGTTTCTGTGGTGATAAACTGTATCAACACAACCCCCCCCTCCTCATCCCCCTCTTTCCTTTCCCTTTCCCCTGTGAGCCATCTATATAACACTCAATCCCACAATTCCACACTTCTTTTTATTCAACTATTAAATGTCCTCAATTAAAATATATAAAGTATGCCGGCCAAAGCCTCTATCCCACTTGCTCTAGTCTGCCTGGCAACAACTGTTCACCCCGGCCCCTAGTGTCTCACCTCAGGACCCCAAAATTG